CAAGGCAGAAGTCGTGCCGCCAATCTGCAGCTTGATTGGGGTAGCAGAGACTATCGCCCCCATCACCTGCCCCCAGAATTGATGTCCAGATCGCCATCCTCGCCACCGTGTGTATAAACGTTTAAACACTAAATACTCCTCCTCCTGCTACAGAGTCTTGGTGTGTGTGTAAAATTAATGAGAAAAAAGTGAAGTTTCGAAGGAGTAGAGGTACAGGCGTCTACCGTCGAAAGCCGTAGTGGTGTGTGAGAGAGGAAAGGTCCACACTCTGGGACGCTCAACGCTCGCCTGACTGGACGGCCATCTTGACTGGGTATATATATGTTGGGGGATCTTGGTACAGTTGCCAATTAGTCGCTATTCGTTTAACTCCTAAATGTGTCCAATTAGTTTATTATGTGTAATTAAGTATCTCGTCTTTCATCAAATTTTAACTCGGAAATGATGAGTAAGTCGGTGTTTTGTACTTATACCTAACGTAACCTAACCAAACCAAACCTAACCTAACCTAACCTAACCTAACCTAACCTAACCTAACATGTTAAGTAATACACATTTATATACATTTCAAAGTAATTATTTTTATTTGTTTTTCAATGTATTTACAATTTTTACTCATATAAATATTCAATGGTTTAATTATAGTTAAAACAGTATTCGATTTCAAAGTTAAATTACCTGTAGTATTCTTAGTCATTTACCTGTAATTATTTGTATATTTATTATAATTTATATTAATACCACGATTTTGATATTGAGATGAGTGAAGCCTTGTTAATAGTAGAGAGATACTGTAGATAGATAGATAGATAGATAGATAGATAGTTAGATAGACAGATATAGATAGATATATATTTAATAACAAAGGCAATATATAAAGTAAAAGTAAAGAATATTAAAGTATTTTTTTTTGGGGGGCCGAGGCACTAAGGTGAAATGATGCGTCAGTGTTGTGGGAGGGTGAGTGTGGGGAGGGAGTAGTGAGGGGACAGTAGTGAGTCAGGCGGGGTTGGTTACCTTGAGTGAGCGAGCGTACAGGGCGCCCCAACTTCTTACTTCTTGGAAAAACAAACGTGTGGAGTCATTACGTATCATATTTTTCTATATTATCCACTTAAACTAACCTAATTAATCTATATAACTTAATGATATAGTATTAATTATATCATTTAGGTTAGGTTAGGTTAGGTTAGGAATTTAGTATATAAGAGAGAGATAATAGTGATTTGTTGACAATGGCGATATCTGGGAACTTTAAGGCGTCGTTAGATTTGTACTCGGGAAAAACTTTTAAGAGTGAGTTTTGTGAATGGATCTGTGATGAATGAATCGCTTTACTACCGGAAGGAAGAGGTAGTGTGGGTGCCAGGTTAGGTTAGGTTTGGTTAAGTTAGGTTTTTGGTTTGTTTGGTTAGGTTATTCTTGCTTAATATTGGAGACCATAGGGAAACGCTTATTGGGTGAGGTGAAGAGGTTAAATGATGACACGTTTATGGAATACACTTGTATCATTCATTCCTCTCTCTCTCTCTCTCTCTCTCTCTCTCTCTCTCTCTCTCTCTCTCTCTCTCTCTCTCTCTCATACGCACATATGCGCTCACACATACCTTACCCACCCACTCACTCAACCACCCACACCCACACACACACACTCCCTCAATCACCCACACCCACACGGGACTAATTTAAACCACGTCCCATATTGAAGGAACCTATTGGTATATTGGTGAAGGTAATGGGGCAATATGACGGATATATTAGGGAGAAATATGGGAATTAACTCTTTGATGATCGTTCCAAGGTGTGTTTTTGTACAGGTAATCTCGTGCATCTGTGTGTGTGTGTGTGTGTGTTGAACCAGCCAATCACAGTTTAGTAAATACTTATCTTCTACCACCACTACCGCCCACAACACCACCACCCACTGCCGCCAGACATGAGAGGGTGAGTGGCTGTGGGTTGAAGTTCCCTTCGTCTACCACCACCCACAGTACTAACACGAGAGAGAGAGAGAGAGAAATGCTTAGACCAGGTATTGCAGTTAGGCGTAGTGGGGGGAGGGAAGGCGTAGTGGGGGAGGAAGGCGTAGTGGGGGGGAAGGTGTGGTGGGGGGGGAGGGAAGGCGTAGTGGGGGAGGGAAGGCGTGGTGGTGGGAGGGGGAAGGTGTAGTGGGGGAGGAAGGCGTAGTGGGGAGGGAAGGTGTGGTGGGGGGGGAGGGAAGGGTGTAGTGGGGGGGAGGAGGCGTGGTGGGGGGAGGGAGGGTGTGAGTGGGAGGGAGGCGTGTGGGGGAGAGGTGTTGTGGGGGGGAGGGAAGGCGTGGTGGGGGGGAGGGAAGGGTGTGGTGGGGGGGGAGGCTGTGGGGGAAGGCGTGGTGGGGGAGGGAAGGTGTGGGGGGGAGGGAAGGTAGTGGGGGAGGAAGGTGTGTGGTGGGGGGGGGAGGGGAAGGTGTGGTGGGGGAGGAAGGCTGGTGGGGGAGGGAAGGTGTATGGGGAGGGAGGGT